GCCGTTCTTGTCACATCTTCAAATGGTGACCAGATGCTGCATGTGTCCTGAATCAGGAGCTACTGACATGGTAAAGAGAACTCCGTTTCCCAGAACCTATCCTCATCCCATATTTGCACAGATACTTGTTGATGGCCTGCTGTTACTGGTGCATCCACTGCAGTACTGCCAACGCCGACTTATGTTGCTGCTGAATTTTGACCAGATGAACACTTTCTGGGTATGATTGCCTGAAGTAGCCACACACTCTTATGGCCCTCCTCATCCTGGAAGTCAGGGATAAAAACAACATGGCAGCAATTTGCCTGGGCTGTTGTGTAAGCTCCTTGGTGCTTGGAGGAACTGGTGAGTGTGACGACTTAATAGATGAGGCCATTGAGGAGGAGGGGATAAAGGTGACTGAGATTTCACCAGCACCATGTTTCATGGACATGGGATGTCACCACCGGTTCCAAGGTTGAACCTTATCCTGCATTGTGTTATCAGAAATTTTAGCTGGAGAGTGATAAAAGATATGTAACATCCCTGCCCATGTTTGCAGGACCAATGTCTGTGGTCTTTACCACTGACTACATGGTCCAGCGATGCAGAGACATTATATTCCATATGCTGGTGGACGGCAGAGAAGGCCTCCTTTTTGAAAAAATGGTGGCAGGGTACATGCCTCTGTGGTGCAGCACAGACCACAATGTTGCTGAAGGGAACATACTTCATCACATGGAACAGGACCACCAGTAATGACAGCAATTGTAATTTAGACCCTGGGAATAGGGGTGATTCTGTGAATATGTTTTCTTACATTCCATCAGCTGAGGATAAGATACCTGCCTGGTAAAGGATGCTGCTGGAGAGGGTGAGGTGGGGTTAGGAGACTTACAATGGGGTTGATTCCAAACTATAACCCTCTTCCCTGTTTGATGTGTCTTAAGGTAGGCTTTTCAAACCCTTTGTCAAATTTTCATCCCAATATTTATTATTTTACAAAATAAAGAGATAGTACAGTTGTAAACAAAATTTAGCAATTTAATACATGATTTTTTTTTGTAACTTGCAAAAAAAACTTAAGAAAATATATACAAATTATAAAAAAAATTAAAAACCTCAACAAAACACCTTAAAAAAACCTGCAGTTAAACAGTTGGGTCTGTTCACCGTCAATACAAAGCGTAGTATGCAAAAATGTGTAACCTACTCCAATGAAATTCGCAGTAATATAGCACTATATATCACAGTGTGTGTGTAAGGGGGGTGGGGGAAGCACGCCACACAATGTAGCTCACTTATTGCAATTCACTGATGTAGCACAATAGAGCACTGTATATAGCACTATACTGTATATTATGGCACTATATAGCACTGTATAACAAAACCTGAGTTTTATAGGCAGGGGGCAGCCACATTGGAAAACCCCTTTAAATGCCACCTGACCACAGTACTAAAGACAGGAAATGCCTTATTGGTAATTGATTTCTATTGCAGTGAACCATTCTATCAGTTCAGCATTTTCCCAAACTTTGAACAACTAGAGTTGAACCCATGTTCAACCGGAACTTGAAGATCATCTATAACAGACAGTCAGTTGTTGCAGTTGTCATACATTACCTAGCCTGGCACAAGAGGACATGGGTTTAGCTGCCTTTCAACCTGCCCCGAGAGCTGCCAGAATCTCTGGCCCACTGAGGCTTTAGTCCCGCAGCCATACCAGCTGCAAAATAACATTGCAACATTTTGATTGGGCCATTGAATAGGTTCTGAGGAGCTTAGGGGGCACTTCAAGGGGGACTCTAAGGAAACACAAGAGGAAGCCATTGATGAGGAGAGAGTATAGGTTACTGTGTTCTCACCTATACCAATGTGAAAGACACAGGGTGGTACCACCAAATCCATTCTGCTTCCTTCCCAGCCATTAGAAATGATCAAGTCTGCCTTGAAGAACATGTAACAACCCTGTCTGTTTTCTATGTTGGTGGTCATGTGGCTCCTGCCGCTGACAGTTTGAATCTGTTACACAGATACATTACTGTCAACATGTTGGTGGAGGGCAGACAAGACAAAAACATGGTAGCTGTGTCCCTGCAATTGTGGTGCAGCTAAACTCAAAACACGTAGAAAAGGGTCGACTCCCTCAGCTGGAATGAGAGCAGCTGTGAAGCTAGCAAAACTGGCCATTGAGACCCTGGCCACGGGAGTGATCAGGGGGCAACTTGTTGCCATAAAGATAAGCCTATGAAAATCCTAGGGAGACTTACCTTCCTATCACTTGAGGCCACTGAGGTTTCAATGAATGCAGATGGAGATCTTGGGAAGGAGAGGGAGAGGTGGAAAGTGAAGAACAAGCAGGATGAACGCTCTGGTATCTCTGAATAGCTGCTGCCATCGGGCTCTGTGGTACAGGTTCATGTGTCTTTTTATGCATATAGTATCCAAATTACTGAAATTTTGCCTTGGCCAATGTGTTGCAGGCAGAGGCTGCAGACCACAATGCTGCTGTTTTCAGAAGATGTGTAAAAAGGTCTGAAGTGCAGTGCTCTTTTGCTCTGTGGACCAGCCCAGACAAGGATAGCAGTGGCTTGTATCTGTGGGGTAATGCCATCTAATGAAATAAGACAGCTACTCCCTCCAGTTCACTGCAAACTGCCACTGTCCCTTGATTAAATCATCCTTCCCTACTGTTGTGCCAGTCTCTGGCACCTGCATATGATAAACCACCTCATCATTACCTCATCACTAGAGCCCACTTGGCAAAGATAAGAGCTGTGTCAGCTGTTGAAAATTACTCAACTACATACCTCAGAGTACCATCCCCAAATTAATATGCTGGTAGAACAGTTCAATAGAACCCCAAAGGTATGCTAAAAAGTTCCCCATTTGGACAATACAGTAGATGTCTCTTGTGTCTCCTAAATATAGCCTGGGAAACATGAAATCAAGAGGCCACACCACACAAAAGTACAATGCAGGATAGAATAGCAGCAGTCATGCCCATAGTTCAAAAGTATATGGAGCATGCTGAATAGGTGTAGGCCAGAATTTATAACTTGTCTTTCAAAATCCGTACCGTTAACTTGATCAACAGTCTTTTTGCTGCAAACTTTTTTGAGTAAATTTCTGGTAATATGACGGTGCCCCTGTGAGATCAGAGGGAAATTCAATTATGTCGTACCACCTGTCATGGACAAGTAAGCCCCTCCAAAAATATAATGTTAACCCAATTCAACAGAAAGCCCTAAAATATTATGCCTGGCTGAAGTAACAGAATGTATCATGTCTTTGTGACTGAACTTCACACCAAAGTAAAGCTAAAATCTTATTGGACACCTGAATCTCAGAGATAGCCATTTCAGAAAAGGTACATAAAATTTTAGACCTTGGGGTTATAGAGGAATCTAACAGTAAGTGGTCAAATCCATAGTGCTCATCCGTAAGCCAGATGGCAATGTGAAGTTCTAAAATGTCTTAAGAAAACTAATTGAAATTTCCAAATTTCATACTTATTCCATGCCCTAGGAGTTGATATAAATGTTGGGTTCCAGCAGGTAGATCACTACCATCAATTTTGCTAATGACCAGGTTTCCTTGACAGGGCAAAGGAAAAGAAAGCTTTTGTGACACTAAATGGGTTGTACACATATGCGGTCCTCATTTTTTGGCTTACACAGGCCCTCAGCCTCATTCCAAAGAATGATGCACCACATTCCTAAGCCTCACAAAGCATATGATTTTTAAATTAGATTCCCACCTACACCAGACAGTTTTAGATTCTATTCATAAAGCCAGGTCAACAGCCAATCCAAAAAAATGTGCAATAGGGCCTGGAAGAAGCTCAGTATTTGGACTACAGCATTGAGTCGGGGGTCATAAAGCCTCAAAGGACCAAGAATGAAGCAACTGAAAGTTGACTCCTGTCAGTGTCAAAAAAACAGGTTAGAGCCGTTTTAGGATTGAAGGATCCTACGGGAGGTTTGTACCTAACTTTGCTACTATAGCAGTGTCACTTATAGATCTTACCAAAGGGCCCAAATCCTGTACAATGAAATGGAATGAAGAGGCAGAGAGAGATTTTGAAGAACTGCAATTTTGTGTAAGGAAACATCTCCAACTTTAATCAAGATATTCTGCTTAAAATATATATCTTTGATATTGGCCCGGAGCAGGAAATTAATGTGAAAAAAAATTCAGTAGCATACCTCAGCTGGAAAATTATCCACTGCAATAAGGAACTACTTAGTAGTCAAAAGGGAGGGTCTGGCCATAAAGTGAGTGCTAGAGTCATTGACCTTTTGCAGAGAGTTTTCATTGATTACAGACCATTCTCCACTACAGTAAATGTCTTAGAACAACGGTAAAAATGCAAGGGTTGCAAGGTGGCTTGTGGCTCTGCAAAACTTTACATTTTATGTAGAACACAGGCCAGAGACCTGGCAAGGAAATGCCAATGGACTATCATGCCTCACTGTATGCTGGCAATATGCTTCTTCCCACTGGTCTGAGCAGTGTATGCATAGCACAGGCTGGTAGAATTTTCTACAATGTGTATTTGTCACCTAGGTTTCTCAACAACATTTGCTGACAGGCTCCAGGGTTGATGGCTGATACTGAGAAAGCAACCTTGTTTTCTCAGAATCTTGACAAGTCCTGTTATGGGTCCTGGAGCCCAGAGGCTTTCCAAAACTTTGGGTGGGAATAAGTCATTCCTAGGTCCACATCTTTCCTGGTAGCCTAACTCCATTATTGTGTTCCTTACCCTCTCTGCTATGGGAGACTGCTGCTGCATGAAAAGCATGACTTAACACAGAAAAAATGTACGAGGGATGATTGTTTGTTTAGTTGTTGATAATATATATATATATATATATATATATATATATATATATATATATATATATATATACATACATACTATATGGCCAAAGGTATTGGGACACCCCTCCACCCCTCATTGGATTCAGATGTTCCAATGACCTCCATGGCCACAGGTGTATAAAATCAAGCACCTAGGCATGCAGACTGCTTCTAAAAACATTTGTGAAAGAATTAATCGCTCTCAGGAGCTCAGTGAATTCAAGCGTGGTACCGGGATAGGTTGCCACCTGTGCAATAAGTCCATCCGTGAAATGTCCTTGCTACTAAATATTCCACGGTCAACTGATAGTGGTATTATAACAAAGTGAAAGCAACTGGGAACAACAACAACTCAGCCACGAAGTGATAGGCCACATAAAATGACAGGACGAGGTCAGTGCATGCGGATGCGCACAATGCGCAGAAGTAGCCAACTGTCTACAGAATAAATAGCTAAAGACCTCCAAACTTTATGTGGCCTTCAGATTAGCACAACAGCAGTGCGTAGAGAGCTTCATGGAATGGGTTTTCTACAGCTAAGCAGCTGCATCCAAGCCTTACATCACCAAGTTTAATGCACAGCGTCGGATGTAGTGGTGTAAAGCACGCTGCCACTGGACTCTAGAGCAGTGAAGATATGTTCTCTGGAGTGACGAATCACGCTTCTCTGTCTGGCAATCTGATGGACGTGTCTGGGTTTGGCAGTTGCTGGAATGGTACTTGCCTGACTGCATTGTGCCAAGTGTATAGTTTGGTGGAGGGGATTATGGTGTGGAGTTGTTTTTTCAGGAGTTAGGCTTGGCTCCTCCTTAGTTCCAGAGAAGGCAACTCTTAAGGCATCAGCATACCAAGACAATTTTGGACAATTTCATTCACCCAACTTTGTAGGAACAGTTTGGGGGTGGCCCTTTCCTGTTCCAACTTGACTGCTCACCAGTGCACAAAGCAAGGTCCATAAAGGCATGGGCAAGCAAGTTTGGAGTGGAGGAACGTTACTGACCTGCACAGAGTCTTGACTTCAACCCGATAGAACATCTTTGGGATGAATAAGAGTGGAGACTGTGAGCCAGGCTTTCTCATCCGACATCAGTGCCCGAACTCACAAATGTGATTCTGGAAGAATGGTCAAACATTCCCATAGACATACTCTTAAACCTTGTAGACAGACTTCCCAGAAGAGTTGAAGCTGTTATAGCCGTAAAGGGTGGACCAGGTCAATATTGAACCCTACGGACTAATACTGGGATGCCATTAAAGTTCATGTGCGTGTAAAGGCAGGCTTCCCAATACTTTTGTATGCCAGAAGAGGGTGCGTGTCCCTACGCACCATCTGGCCAAGTGATTAATCTAAAATATAACCTTTATTCAGATATATATAAAATGTGGAATGTACTGCACGCAACAGTATGACTGGATACCATTACATTTATTTACCTTACAACCAAATGGTTAATAACACCAGACCAGATCAAATACCATACCGTTTTAGATGAAGATACGGCATAAAGAAGATACTGTAGTTTGATCATAGGCCTATCAGATGGAATATACAATCTCTATTAAGGAGATAAAGTTACCTCATGGACAGAACTAATTGCATAGTATAATCTGTCTTGCTACAGATATGTAATACGGATACACTCATCCACGGGCCTTAATGTCAGCCTCTAATGGACAAGCCCCGTATATCACCATATACAGTCAAAAATACCTCACTATCTTGAGGAATGCAAATTATGCATTATAAAGAGCAGTACAGACCACTCCAAAAAGGAAGGGGGGGGGGGGAGGAGTAAATACTATGTGCATTCAAAAAGTGCTCCCAAAGAAAGACCCAAAGAAAAGATAAAAAGAAACTCTACATGTTTCGCTCCAAAAAAACAGCTTTGCTAGGAGTATAAATAATTAAAATAGGTCACATAATGGCTGGAAGTTGTGCTCAGTTTCACATGGTGGCAAAATGGCCATTTATATTAAAACAGGCATAGACTCCAGAGTGAGAGATATCATATTACCCCTGTACAAATCATTAGTAATACCTCATCTGGAATATGCAGTTTAATTTTGGTCACCAATTCACAAAAAGAACATTGGGGAACTGGAGAAAGTACAGACAAGGGCAAACAAACTGATAAGAGGCATGGAGGAGCGCAGCTATGAGGAGAGATTAGAGGAACTGAATGTATTCTCTCTTATGAAGAGGAGATTAAGGGGATATGATCAACATGTATAAATACATCAGTGGTTCATATAGTGAACTCGGTGTAGAGTTATTTACCTTGAGGTCATCACAGAGGACAAGGGGGCACTCTTTACATCTGGAGGAAAAGAAATTTAATCTTCAAACACGGAAAGGTTTCTTTACAGTAAAAGCTGTGAGAATGTGGAATAGACTCCCTCAAGAGTTGGTTTCTTGCCAGCTCAGTGGATTGCTTTAAAAAAGGCCTGCATTCTTTCTTGGATACACAGAATATAACTGGTTACTAACATTTATAGGTAAAGTTGATTCAGGGAATATCCGATTGCCTGTCGGGATATCAGGAAGGAATTTTTTCCCCTGCAGGAGCAAAATTGGATCATGCATTGCAGGGGGGGTTTTTTGCCTTCCTCTGGACCAACTGTATGTGTAGGATTATAACTTTTCTTTTTTTTGTATGGTTGAATTGGATGGACTTTTGTCTTTTTTCATCCAGACTAACTATGTAACCCCCCCAGAATTGTACAGAAACACTGAACTATTCTCATGACAGTGTGTAAAAAATGTGGTAAAAAAAAAAAAAGAATGTTAAAAAAAGAAAAAAAAAACTGTTTCAAAATTGAATTTTTTTAAAATTCTATCACCAGTCAGTATCCTTGATCACTGCCACACCAGTCATATGATGACGCTGTACTCAAAAAATTGTGACAAAAAAAATTACAACATTACAAAACTCACCATGACTCTTATTAAATATCTTAGGCTGTTTACTTTCCAAAAAGGGGTAATTTGGGGAGTATTTGTACGGTCCTGGCATTTTAAGGGCCTCAAGAAATGAGACAGGCCATCAGTATATTAGGACTAATCAATTTTCAAATATATATACCATAGTTTGTAGACTATAACTTTCACACTGACTAAATAATATACACTGATTTGGATTATTTTTAGCGAAGAAATGTAGCAGAATAAATTGGCCTAAACTTATGAAGAAAGATTATTTGTTTGCAAAATTTTATAACATAAACTAAGAAAAATTTGTATTTTTTTTAATTCTGTATTTTTTTCGTTTATATAGCAAACAATAAAAAAACAAGTGGTGGTTTAATACAACCAAAATAAAGCTCTATTTGTGTGAAAAAAATATATAAATTTAACATGGGTACAGTGCTGCTTGACCGGGCAATTGCCAGTAAAAGTAGCACAGTGATGAATAGCAAACTATGCCCTGGTCATGAAGAGAGTAAAATTTTTCCAGAGGTCAAGTGATTAAATATCCTTGCTCCTTTTGTTACACTCACCTGTCAGCCGCAAATCTGTTTTTATTGTGAATTGCCTGCTCCTGAGATAAATGCTGCATGAGTTATTTAAACATTAATAGTAGTATTTAACTCTCACTGTATTGACCCCAGGGTGCTACAGAGATCTAGAGTCAGGGCTTTTTTTCAGCGGGAATGTGGGGGAACCTCCAATATTGGATGTATATAATGGCAAGTTGTGCTGGGGTATGCTGGAGGGTCTATTGATGCTTGCTGCTAGGGGATCTATTGTTACTGGAGGAGATCTATTTTTGAGTGGGGGGTCTATTGCCGCTGGTGGGGGATATGTTGTTGCTGGAGGGTACTTATCTTTCTGGGGGATCATTTGTTGCTGGGAGGGATCTACTGTTGAAGGAAGGGTCTATTGTTGCTGTCTGCTTGAGTGTTTAGAGATTTGATTGTGCTGCTGGGGTCTATTGTTGCTGGGGGATCTATTGTTGCACAGGGATCTAATGTTGCTGGTTGCAGGGTGGGATCTATTTTACTGCTTTTCTTGTTATCTTTAACAAATTCCAAATTATTTAGCACAACAATATGATACTTAGTCCTGTATTCTCTAAGAGGGGCAGTACTTGGAGGTGGGTAGGAGGTTTAACCAAGGGACAATGCTCTGAGGTGGGTAGGGGGCAGAGATAAAGGGTGACTAAGAAGAAGGGAATTCCTACACCTATTCTCTGAGAAATAAAGCCCTGTCTATAGTCATAGCATATACTCTCATTTTATAAAAGTGGAACAGGAATTTGGCGTACTCTAAGAATGGTTAGATATGATGTATTCGGAATGGACTAAGACTGAAAACAAGGATCATAATGTGATGGGAATATATATGTGTGCAGCACAATATCATGTGAAGATTGTGATATATGAATACTGTATACAGTATGTAGTCCTTATAATGGGTAGTCCTTATTGAAGTCCTTTTAAGCAGCTGAAGTAGAAGGCAGCCAGCCAGTGAAGAGCTAGAGAGAGCCCTGTGGGAAATCAGAAAAGCAGAAGGCGGTGCCCTCTAAGTGCAGCATTAAACTCCATAGTATTGCCAGCCCCCGCCATCAAGTGACCGCAAGTGAGGTCTTCTCCATTCAGAGGGAATCCCGGAACTCGGAGGAAATGCCAGGAGCCACCAGCATCGCCACCCAATACCAGACCACCCTGCATGTATAGAGGCTCAAGTCCCTTCACACAGCGGATGCCTATTATTTCAGATTACAAGCGCTTTTCCACCATACCTTTGTGAGTGGCCTGTATTATATTTTTAGCTATATTTTATGCTGCACTTAGAGGGTGCCACCTTCTTCTTTTCTGACTCTCATTTTATAACATCAGCATAGCAATACCAATGACAGCTATTTTTGACAATCCAATAAAAGCTTATTTGAAAAGTTTCCTTTGCAGTGAGTGCTGCCTGTCTGCTGCCTGATCTCTTTCCACAACGTCCTGGATTTCCTGCATGTTTTGCAGTTTATCTTCTGCTCATACCTTTGTTTTTTTTGCTGATTTCTAAGGCTGCTTTCACACTGATCAGTTAATCTTCCGTTTTTGTGTTAAAAAACGCAGTAGACCATTAAATTCTATGGAATACTTCACACTGGTTAGTTGCAGGTCCATAGCATTTTTAAAAGTTGTGCAATTTGCATTTCTTGGTGCAGTAAAAAAAACTGCACCAAACACGCACTTTGCCATTGAAAATGAATAAAAAAAGCATCAGAAAGATGACAAAAATGCATAAAATATGCACCCGCGGTTGTCTGTTGACTCTCATATCCTTTTTCACAGGTGACAAATGCACCGAAAAGTGGAACAAACGTGGTAAAAATGTGGTAAAAATGCTGCAAAATGCATATGCATTTTTACAGCGTTTGTTTGCAATGGAGCAGTGTGAAAGAAGCCTAAAGACTACATATCTCATGGCACCTTGCTGCCTGCAAGCAGTGATTCCAGTACTGACTGCCTCCCGAAACTCCTCCTCTCAGCATTTCTGTAGATCAGAAGGCAGGCTCCGTGAAATGTGTGGCACAGCAGTCATA